TGTCACAGCAGGTCAAGGAGCAGGTGTGTTTGCAGTGCCAGGGCAGGGCTTGTCCCAGGAGACCACCACTCCCTGGGCTGGCAGGAAGTGCAGGGCAGAGCCATGGTCTGGGTTTCTCCTGCATCCGTACAGCGGGACATCCCTGCAGTCTTGCTTGACTGGGTGGGCACTGGGGCCTAAGGATGGGGTGTGGCCCTTCTCTATCCCCCCAACTCCCTTTCTGGATGTCCTGAGAGATGCTAGATTCTGAAGGTGTGTGTGTGGCGGGGGAGGGAGGCTTCCTCTTCCACCCACCTCATATTCTTTCCCACCAGTGGAAAGACTGATGGGGAGCTTGCCAGAGGGAAACTTAATGTTCCCCTCCCCGCAGCGTACACAACTATCACCTTCCCCCATCCTAAATGCTTATCCTAAGTAAATTCTGTACAAATGTCGTTTTAAACAAGGCCTCTAGCTTTGTCCCCTTTTAAAGTAGTCTTCCTGCTTTTGCTTTGAAATTCCTCCATTTCTTTCCCCTCTGTATCTCTAGAACTCTTGGGCCTACCCGCCTCCCGGTTCTAGATTCTTCAAGAGACCTCAACCAAGCATCAGCCTTTGTCCACTGCCAGTTCTCACTGGCTGCCCCAACCGAGAGCCCCGATTGATAGGGCAGCCCTCCTGCAGGTAGCCAATGTTTGTCTTGAGGCGGCTGGCAGCCACCACCCAGCCCCTGGGCTCCTCTGTCAGCTGCGAGTCCCCACTGCGCTTTTATCTGCTGACTCTTAGACCTGTCTGCCTTCTAGATACTTTTGTGTGCGGCTCATTTCCCCTGCTGACTTGTGTACTCCCAGGTGGAGTTTGATTCTCCCACTCCCTCAGCCCCACTGTGTGCAGCCAGCATCCCTCCGGCACAGCAGAATTCCTTCTGACACTTGCCTCCCTGACTGACCCTGGCTTTGTATATCCCTGGACGGCTGTGGTCAGGTTCTTGTTCTCCTGTGCGGAGACTGTGTTCTGGGAATGGACGAGATGCCCAGACCACTCCCACTGCAGAGAAGCACAATGACTTGGAAGGGCCGATCTTGGAGGGAGTGACTTTGCCAAATGACTGGGACAGCACATTCCCTGCTGGGGAGATGACCAAGGCCTGGCTGTGATTCTCCAGCAGGTGAATGTTGCATGGGCAGCTAACTCTCTTCCCTTCCCTGCCTGTGAGCTTGAGAGCTTCCATGGGTAGAGAATGGAAGTTGGGGAGCCCAGAGGTCTGGATCCCATGCTTGACTTTCCCTGAATTTGCTGTGTGAGTTAAAAAGTTGGTCTTGGACGTTTCTGTGGAATCGGACACTCCTCAGCATGTGTGAGGCTCTTGGGCATCTGGGTCCTAGTTATCCCAGCTCTTCTCACATTCCTCCAGCCTGCTAGATTTCCTTAAGCATTTCCTAGTTTCTGCGCCTTTTCACCTCTTCCCTGCGGTGGGCTGAGCTATCTGTCTTCCCTGGGTTTGGCTGGGCTTGATCCCTGCCCTCCAGCTTTGCTTTGGCCTAATCTGACTTCCACGTGAAATGAGGCTTCTGTGTCCATACGCCTCCCTGCTAGACTGTAGCTTCCCAGATGGTCAAGGCTAAATCCTATTTCTCTGTCGCCAGTGTTTCACACCCAGTAGACTCTTAGGAAAATATTGTCTAGAAGGTGAGATGGTGACCTCCAGAGCCCTCCTTTTTATAGTTCGCATTGACCTCTTCCTTCTCACACTGCCTTCCTCTGTGTCCAGAAGCCTGTTTTCCTACCGGGCAGATTTCCTAAACAGCCCATCCGGTTCAGGCTTCCCAACTTACTCTTTAAGAAGAGCCAGTAATGAAGTATGTGCAGTTATTTGTAGAGATTAGCAGAGGAAGCATCTGTTGCTTCGAGATCTCTGCCTTGTTGCTTTGGGAAGAGCCCAGGCACCATGTGCTCCTGTCTGAAGGGCAAGGATAGGCTCCTGAACAATGCCATTTGTTCTACCAGCAGGAGAGGCTGATGTTAATGGCCAGGCAGGCCACCCAGGGGATCCATTGGGTGTCTGCAGGCCAGTTCGTAGCTTTGCAGAGAAGAGTTTGATCCCTTTGCACACAGTCACCCTGAAACTGCTTCCCAGGACCCCCAACCTCTAAGCTGCCAACAGCCAGGTGGTCTTTGCACAGTTTCTCTTCAGGTCAAGTGACTGATGTTTATTAAAATTTTACTGGGTACCCAGGCATGTTTTTGACTAGAGCCAGGCCCGATTCTCATCTGATTTGTTCTAAAACCTACTTTACCCATCTATCGACAGCTTCTTACAATGTCTCACATGAAAAAAATCATGTTTGTGGTTCTTTTATAAAGGTGTATTTAATTTTTTTCATGTCTGTGGGTGTTTTGCCTGCATATTTGTGTGCCATATGCATGCCTTGTGCCCACAGAGGTCAGAAGAGGGCATTGGATTCCCCTGGAACTAAAGTTACAGATGTCTGTGAACTGCCATGTGGGTGCTGGGACTTGAACCTGGGTCCTCTGGAAGAGAAACAAGTGCTTTTAACCTCTAAGCCATCTTTTCAGTCCCTGTGGGTTTGTTTGTTTTTGCTTCTTTAGAATGTAGGGAAATTTTTTGTCTTCCCTGGGCTGCTTTTTCTTTGATAACAAGAAGGACCGTGGGGAAGGCAGTATAGTACTGTTTATGTCCTCCGTACCACCAGTGTGTACGCGGGGCCCATGTACACACTACACACTTCCTGCTATTCTTCCCCAGTTTTTCCAGGGAAAGAAATTGAGGAATAGAGAGATCAGTTGATTTGATCAGATTCTGTCTGGATTTGTACCTTTCATCTCTGCCTTACTCTCCCCTTACCACACTGGTTTTGTTCTTGTTTTTTTCTCTTATTGGCCAGAGATTTGCAGAGTAAGTTGCACTGGCTGACCTAGGGCGCCCTGGAGCTTCCCACTGTCTCTGCCTCCCCAGTGCTGGCATTACAAACATATACCACCAAGCTTGACTTTTTATGGGTTCTGAAGATTAAACTCAGGTCCTTATATGCGCATGAAAAATACTAAGTCAAGTGAGCGCCCCAGTCCTCAGAACCTTTCTGGAGACAAATTCTTACTGTAGCCTGGGCTGGTCTCAAAATCCTCTCGCTCAAGCCTACTGAATGAATGCTGGGATTAAAGGTATGACCTATCACACCTGCCTTGTCTATATTCTTTTTTTTTTTTTGAGACAGAGTAGCTGTTGTGTAGCTCTGACTGTCCTGGAACTTGCTTTTAGAGCAGGCTAGCCTTGAACTCACAGAGACCTGCCTGTCTCTGCCTCATAAGTGCAGGGGTTAAAGGCGTGTGCCATCATTGCCCAGCGCATTACATTTTATATGAGTTATCACAATAGGTTTCTCTAAGACGGTGAGCAGATATGAACGGAATAGAATAAGAAGCACGTCACCTAATGCGAATGCCGACTCAGTGTGGTTAAGAGTCCCCAGTGACTTCCAGGAAGAGCGGAATTTGAAGAGTTTGTCTTTTCTTTCATTTTTTTACGAGATGAAAGTTTTACTTTGGCTTATAGTTTAGAGGATTCATTCCACTCTGGTAGGAAAGTTGTGGCAGGGGAGGCAAGGAGGTCCCATCATGGTGAGCCAGGAACAGAGAGAGGATAATGGTTAGGCAGAATTTTGGCCAGCCATCGCAATGAT